ATTAAATGAAAAATGATAAAACATCAGAAACACGCACAAAGGACTGTGGTTCTGTATATCCCTGCTCCAAAGCCCTGACAGATGCTCAAGGAGATGGAGATCTGGGTGACTATTCTGCGAGATCAAGTGAGCTCCCAGTGTTATGGACAACATCCCAATTGCCATTTCCACCTAAACAGAGATAAAAAAAATAAATCCATTTTTACTTTGAAAACTTTATAGCAGAAATTACTGTAATGAAGAAAGATTGGCCTTTTGAGTTTGACCAATCTGATAGATAGAAATTATGTTCTTTGAAACTAATAACTGAGTTTCTTTGTATAAAACAAATGCCATGCCTATAAATAGCCTGTGGGCCAATACTCAGTGGTGCTATGCTGGAGTGTAACCGAGCAACTGAAGAGTCACGAAAAGAGCATTTTAAACAGGATTTCTTTTCATTGCAGTAAAGCCATTTTCTTATTATTTTATTGGATATATTTTAATATGAGTTTCATGTTCAAGTTAAAAAAAAAAATCTATCAAACCATTTTTTTATCCTAAAATGGAAGCTTTAGAAAGCTCATTTTTAATTCTGTCCATTGAACTCTTTGTGCCTCTCCTAATTCTAGCTAATTAGTTGCCCTATTAGCATATTAGTACTAAGGGATAGAAAAATACACCCCATTTCTGCTAGGAGTATGGAAGTTCCCCATAATCCATGAATTTGAAGACATGGGTATCTAGAGCTTTGCCAAAGCACGGTAAAATAAAACTTCTGTAGAGCACATTAAAAGGTGGTAGTAATAATAATAATAATAATGAATCAATAAACCTCTTGCATGCATGAACTGGCTGGGAGAAAAACAGATTATGCTAAGTTGCAAGATCATTTTAAAAAAATTAAAATAGTTTAAATAAATACATAGAGTCCAGTGAGAAGTGATGACAAGCTGTGCTTTCAAAAAGGCAGCTGCAAACAGACTGCTTACCTCTCTCCAATAAAGTTGCATAGAGCTCCTGAAAAGATTAAACAAATTTTCAGTACCACCCTGCTGCCCAGAAAGGAAAGAATGGCTAACAGTCACCTGAAGGACATTGCAGCTGCCTGCAAGTTATTTTTCTTTACAGAGTATTGTGAATCTCCAGGGTTATTTTATTATATTATTAGTAGAAGCAGCTTATTAACTGGAATAAAAAATTGACCCAAATAATTCTCAGTAAATGATTAGTGCCCTACTTGGACTGAGCTGAAGTGGCAGCAGTTTCAAGGCTAAGTCCTCGTTTATGCAGTAAGTTGCAATTGTCAAAGCAGCAATACTGTGCTAAAAGACTACAGTAAATCCTAAAATCCCTCTACTTCATCAGGCTCTACTCCACTTCCAGAGACCTGATTCCTACTCACTTTCATAAATAGCCCAAGCTGGGATGAAGCTATAGTCTGAGAAATCTCCAGATCTGCTTCATGCGTTTACAACAGCTGTGTCACCCTCCAGTTCCACAGCACAAGGTCTGTCAAGCAGCATTTTGAACTGGACTGTTTGGCTCAGAGCAAACTGCAAAGCTAGCACAGAATCTGCATCAATCTGTGAGCAGCCCAGGGTGAAATCGCACCGTCCTTGCTTTGGTGATGCGTCATCCTAACAGGTTATGTCACCCTTTCTCCTCACACAACCCCAAAACCCAGCTGCCCAGACACACTGCGCAGACGAAGTTGCACAGCCTGGGCCCCTTCTGTCTTCTCCTCTCCAGCTCTGCTCACACAGGGCAAATACAGCTTCGCTCTGGGGAACCAACTTGCACTCTGTAAGAGGCTGCAGGGTCTGGCAGAAAGCCAGGATTCATTCCCAACTAAATTACAGCCCTACTTCTTCTGATTACTTTGCAATACTCAAGACTCTCTGCTGCTTTCCTTACCAGTGGATCTAAGGTCTGTGCTTTCTCCCATCCCCGGACTATCTCTAAAGGGGAACCAACTTGCACTCTGTAAGAGGTTGCAGGGTCTGGCAGAAAGCAGGATTCATTCCCAACTAAATTACAGCCCTACTTCTGATTACTTTGCAATACTCAAGACTCTCTGCTGCTTTCCTTACCAGTGGATCTAAGGTCTGTGCTTTCTCCCATCCCCGGACTATCTCTAAAATACAGTGTTGGGACCCACTGCCAATCAAAGCAGCACATCCACTTTGATCTAAGCACGAGCTGATCATCTCTGACCAGGAACATCACTGTTGTGAGTCTCAGATTCTCCTCAACAGAAATTCTTCAACAGGGCTGTCTTCTGCTTGTCATTACTTCATTAGTCATTACACTTTTCCATCAGCTGGGATCTGAAGGAACTCATGTCTCTAACTGCAGTTTCATTGTGGCACAGCTGTCAGCAGCTTGCCTTTCTGAAGGATGTGAGGAATGTGCAAAGCAGAGTTACCTTGAAACATTTAGGGAGCTTCCCCTGATATTTCTCCCCATTGTGAGCACAAAACTGATCAGATGTAGCTGTATTTACAGCACTGAGAGATAAGGGCTCCCTGTCAAATAATGCAGGCAGCTGTTAATACACCGATGATTATGTATAGGCTGCCTTCACAATGAACTGAGATGTAGGCAATGAACTTTTTCCCCCTCCCCTTCCCTGTATCATAGCAACTGTGCTACTGCAGGGGCTATTTTAAGAACAGTAACTTTTCACCAAACGTGATTATGAGGCAGACTGAGTGAGCTCAGCATACAAAAATACTGCATCCCTTCCGCAGCATCTCTGGGCCAAAATCTGATACCCTTACCCAAAAGGGCAATAAATTACTCTGCAGATTGTCCAAATAGTATTAAAAAGGAGTAGCTGTGAATGCTAGCTATTTTAAATCAATGTTCAAGAAACTTGTCATGATATCATTGCAAGAAAACATAGCCCTGTCAGGAGCTTCCAGAAAGGAGTGTCTAGGGCTGAGAAATACAAGTTAGGAGGTCAGGGGTGGACAGCAGACGTGTCCATCAGCATGGAGTGCTGGCTAGAGCGGGAAGTAATTGCTTGCTTTGGTTTGCAACAGTGATGTAGATCTTGTAAATTCTGAGAGTGTCGTGAAGTAAAAGGATAGTTTGTATTCTGAGGACTCTTGCCTGAATAGGAGAATACTAGAAAAGCTTCAGTCATCAAGATGCATACAGCTGCAGGAATCACTGGCACAAAAATCTTTCAGAGTAAGCAAAGGGAGCAGTTTCTAGGTCTGCATGAAGAGGGATTTGAATTTCTGATCAGCTCAATCACACAGGACACGCTTTTTGAAGCTGAGTAACTCAAAACCTACAGCTTGGTTGGGAATATTAGCAGCCTTGTCCTCGGTAAGGCTCCGGCATTACTGCTGCGGCAGCTGGATGCCAGTGTGTCGTGCACGGAGCCTGACACAACTCAGACATCAGACCAACCTGTGCATGCGCTGCACCTCGAGCTCTGCTCGTGCAAGGAATTGCCTTCTCCCAGAGACCTCTGATTTCCCATGCTTGTACTCCTCTCCCACATAGCAGGTGCTTACAGAGTACAGTGGCCTTCCTGTACATGCACAATGGCCATTTGCCCAGGCTACTGGATGCCTGCAGAAATAGGTGCCCCATTGAGAAAACTAGGTGGATATTAGTATCCAGGTGGGCTGGTCTCCACAAGTTTTGCATTACAGATACTCAGCACTGTTAGAAATCAGTTGCTGCTCTAAGACAAATCTCAGTCCCCTAAGCACTAGCAGCTTTGAGACTCACTCTTCTCAAGAGGATAGCAGGGAGTTTCAGCTTTCACTGCTCATGGTTTAGTTAAGATTAAATGATTTGGTGTTTCAGATACTGAAGGCAAAGCCTGCACTGGTGACGATGCCACGAGAGCAACGCAGAGTGACCCTCCAGCTCCTGTGTGCCAGGCACTTACCTCAGAAGAGGTGCAGCAAGAGAGTACAATAGCAGCCACAACGAATGTGACCTCGCTTGGTGAGGAGCTGCATTTGGATGAGCTGAAAGAAGATGCAGGTATTGGATATAAAATGTTTTCAAAAAACTATAAAATGTTAAAAAAATGTTTCTGTTGAGCTGCTTTATGAGGAGTCAAATATGTCAGTGCACTAAAGGGTCAGATCACCTTGTTCAGCTCAGCCCATACTAGGTTAGTAATCAGTACGTAAAAACAGTGATTTTTGAGACTGCTACCAAACCGAGGAACCACACAAAGCTTGGCATAATGGGATTAGTTGGATTACAAGACAATCCAGTCTTGGCATGGTGCCCCTTTGGTATTAGCAGTGACTGCTGTGAAGATGAAACAAGCTTTTCTTAAAAACATTTCTTAAACTTCTGTGCCAAGCCTGAAATTGCTTGTCCTGGCTTGGGAGAACAATGTCAATACACAGCCCACACTGTCGATATCGTCAACCCTGGCTGCAACATGCTGCAAATACAAGTGAAGTTCAATACCGGGAGCACAGATAAGCTAAACCAAGCTCCTTTCATGCAACTGTGCTCCGGCAGAGCTCATCCGTGACAGCAGTTCCTTGGGACCAGAGTCGCAAGGCACAACCCAGCAGCTGGAGGGTTTCCATTCACTTCCTGACAACCAAGAAATGCAAAGCTGCAGAGATAATGCTTTATCCTAGTTTGTGAAGAGTGCCATGTAGTGATTACAGATTTTCCTGCCCATTCCCTCTGGTGAATCTTTACACCTTCTCCATCTGCCCTGGTTGCCTTTTGTTCTCCATCCCACCCCCTCATGCTCTGCTTTCTCTGGGGTCCCAGACCCCAGCCACTTTCACCAAGCCCACCCCTACCTGCTGTGGTTTACTGAGCAATGCTGCCTGCTTGTGCCCTCACCCTGCTTCAGCAGCTCAGAATGGAAATCATTCTCTGAAGGGTTTTCCATTTCTTTGCTTTATCCTTTCCCACTTCCTTTTCCTCCCCATGACTCATGCAATTTTGTTCCCTTTCGCTGTTTTACTTTTATATAATATTGCTCTTCTGGCCCATTTCTAGCTCCACTCCACTCTTAATTGCTTTGACAACAGAAACTCTTCTGTCTCCCAAAAAGTATCTCTCCTCATGTTGGCTCATCACAAGGATTTTTTTTGTAAGCTTAGCAACACCTTTCCATCACCCATCACGTTCGTCATTTCAACCACGTGTTATTTCATCAAGAAATATCCCAAAGCACTGTATGTGGGCTTCTAAAGATGTATCCTCTCTCTTTTTTGTCTCTTAAAATAGAGACAAAATAGAGAATGGGACATAGACAGCTCCTATTAATACATGCCCTTAATGCTGGTTTCCTTTCTCTTCAAACACTATCCTTTATGGCTGTGTTTGGTTTTGTATCACCCTAAAAATTAATTGAGGCAAAAACCATTCATCTCCCTGTTCTTAGAACAACCAGATCAAGATCTTGACCAGAATCCTTCAGGCACTGCTATTATTAGCAATAATACTCTTTTCTAGAGTGTTTCATTCCATATCACTAAGGAAATTTCTCTCTGAACTTTTAATTCTTATCACTGGGCTGTCCTGGAAAGATGGCACTAATAATGTATCATGTGTTTAACCTTATGGCTCTGCAAAACCTAGTACTATGATTTAAAATTTACCTTACACTGCGTTCAAAATTGTGTATTGAGGCTTTCAAAAATCTTCCCAATTTCTTATGTCTCTCTCTGTAATCCTAGTTCCTTTTATTGTCTCCCTGGCACAACCTTTCCTCTCTTCTGTATTTCTTCTCCTCCATTTTTTGAGGTGTCATTTTTCTGGATTGCAAAAAATAACAGTGGGATTACCTTCTCCTGTCTCCCTGGTCTGCGAGACTCCACTCCTATTTGTTGGAAATCTTCCTACCTCTTTCATCGGTGGCCTCTGTCTTTTAAAATAATTGTGTCGATCTAATCTTTATGTGTTAATTTATCGCTGTCTGTGCATTCTAGCATTCCTGTCTCTAGTGAGTCTGCCTTAAGGAATTCATTGGGTGGGAAAACTCTTCAAAATTGTCAGAGTGTATTGCTAAGTTTATTATAATGTTGAGTTTATTATAACGTTTGTCCTTGGGCTCAATCCAGGCCCAGTGCAGGCGGTGTCTTTCCACAAATTCATATGAATGTTTGACCAGCTAGAAACAAAATTAATATATTTGCTTTATATCCAATATGTCGTATTTAATCCTGAGGATGTGGGGTGAAGGCCAGGGAGTGGAAGAGGAGGGAACAAAAGGAAATATTAGAAGATTTCGTGTTTGGTTAATACACAGAAAAAGAACGGCCTAGGCAGAAAGAGGGCAGTTTTTCCCACCTAACCTAGCCAGTGGGCTTGGGGGCAGTACCAAGGGGAGGATTTCTACCTAGTAGTGAGATGGCATTTTGACAAGTGGCACTCCATGAATAATTAGCTCCTCTGGCAAAGAGTCTAGTGCTGAGCACTTGGA